TGGCTCAGATGGGCTCTTCTAAACTATTTAGTGAGACTTGAGAATGGTCAGACAAAAATACCGGTTCTGTGAAAGATGAAAGACTCAGAGACACAGCCTCATGCTGTGTAGCTGCAAACTGGGTGTTCATAGGGACCTCTGCTCAGGTTAAGCTGGGACAATGTGGTGTATTTTGGAAAAGCATTTCAGGATCAGTAAATAAAAATCAGTTAGAAATTTATTTTGAGAAAGACTCTTTCTATGTATTTGTGGCTATCCTTGAACTCAGAATGTAGACAAGGTTGGCCCAAACTCCCAGAATTGTGCCTGGCTCTGCCTTCCAAGTTTTGGAATAAAAGTTGTGTCCACATCATACAACTTGTAATTTTATTATATATTTACTTCTGACTGTTTGTATGGGTTGGTTCATTTGTGTGTGGAAAGGTGTGCATGTGTGCCATGGGATGGGTGTAAAAATTTAGAGAATAACTTTAGTTGTTGGTTCTTTCCCATCGGCACATTAGAGACATGGTCTCTAGTTTGCTATCACATAATCATATTTTTCAGGGTTTCTCCTCTCTGCCTTTAAAATTACCTTAAAAGAATTGGCATGCACTGTTGCAACTGGCTTTATAATGCAGAAGTAAAGAGGTAGTTGCAAGATGAGTACTGTATCTGTTAACCCATTTTCTCAGCCCTAAAGTTTATTAAATAGAGATTTTTTTGGAGTGAGTCTGTTTTGAAACACAGTCTCACTTTTCTAACCCTGTCTGACCTGGATCTCACTCTGTAGTAGAGAGGCTAGACCTGGAACTCACAGACATCCACCTGCCTCTCCCTCATGTGACCACACTTAACTATTAAGAGGTGTTTATTGTGGGGCATACAGGGGCTGCAAAGAGGGTACTGAGAGAAATTCAGATAAATAGAGCTTAAGCTTTAAGCTGTTTGTGCAGAGAGTGGATACAAATGGTACCAGAGGAAGTTAGTTTAAGCTGTTTGTGCAGAGAATAGATACAAAGGATGGCTAAGAGGAAGTTAGCTTGGGTTGTTTGTATGGAGATTAAAGACTAATAGTGAGATTAAAGGCGTGTGCCACCACCGCCAGCACTCGGGAGGCAGAGCCAGGTGGATCTTTGTGAGTTCGAGGCCAGCCTGGTCTACAGAGTGAGATCCAGGAAAGGCGCAAAGCTACACAGAGAAACCCTGTCTCGAAAAAGACTAATAGTGAGAAAGGAAGTTAGCTCAAGTTATTTATGCTAAGATAAGATACTAAAAACAGGAGATGATGTCAGGGCATAAAGAACGTGTAAATAGGGTGACCTTTAAAATGATTGGTTGGTTCCTTCACCCCCTCCTAGGGGTCTGGGGTTTTCTGGTATAAAAGAGGCTTACTGCCAATCAAATGAGTTTTTGCTTGACTTGACTCCCCATGGCGTCTGATTGTCTCTGGGTAAGAGGGAGGCTGGGGAACAGTCCAGCGACTAGCATCTACCTTTCCTTGGTTCCAGGCCACCTCTTCACAGGTGACCTAAGTTCCCAGTGGGGCAGGTCCCCACAGTTTATCATGGATTTAGCACAGATATTAGTAGAAAGAAAGGACTTTTGGATAGTGTAGTCTTGTGAGGGAGAGCCACACTTAAGAACTGACACAAAGTCATGTTTACAGTTCTGTTGACTTTGTAAGTTCCTTTCAATGGGTCCTTAGGGAGTCTCTCTCTCTCTCTCTCTCTCTCTCTCTCTCTCTCTCTCTCCCTTCCTCCCCCCCTCTCCTTCTCTCTGTCTTTCTGTCTTTCTGTCTCCCTCTTTCCTTCTCTTTGGTAAAAAGATCATCTGTCAGTTGCTGAGGTGGCTTGGGTAGGATTCTGATTTAATGAAGTAAAAACATGGGTCAGAAGGTTTCTGCACTGTGCCTTGCTCTACATGGAGTTCATAATCCTGTCCTGGAGATTCTCAGCAAATTGCTGCTTACATCTGGGAAAGGAGAAAGTCCATACTCCTATGTTTTATGTACTTTGTCTTCAAACATGGCTCATTGGTATTTGAGATATCATTTAAAAAAGGAATAGTGTCACTGTCTACACAGGCAGTCTACATAGCAAATTTTATGAACTTTGTGTGATGGTTAGTATTGATTTTCAATTTGATAAGATCTAGAATCAGCCAAGGGACACTCCTCCAGCCATACCTGTGAGGGCTTATCTAGAACCTGTTATTCTCTGGTGTGTGCTTATGAGAGATTATCTTGTATATTAAGTTCATTGAGATGAGAAGACCTTTTTCTTTCCAAAAGTGATAGCACCATTCCATACCATGGATTTGGTAATGAATTATGTAATAATGACCAACATTCATCACTGTCTGCTTCCTGACTATGGATACAGTGTGATCAACCACAACGGTTACTTCTTATAAACCTTCTTTTTATTTACTTTTAAAATCTTACCTTTTGAATTTCTACATGTTCATGCCATGATACTCAGTAATGTTGAATAAGAAGTCACCAAAGCCAGATATGGTGTCCCAACCCTGTGATCACAAAATTTAGGAGGCAGAGTCCTTAGTTTGAGGGTTACAAAAACATCTAAGGACTGAGTGTACAATGGCATATGGATCATACAAGTTTATAGTGGAGGAATCTGTCCCTTGTTATCTTCTACAGACCAGAACTAGCCTGTCGGCCTCTGGATAATCTCACCTCTGAGGCTCAAGGTGTCTTCTTCCATGAGGCATGTGAACCCCAAGTTCTGAGCTGTGGGAGATGTGAGTCCCTGTTGTCTTGAAATCCAAGTTCACAACATTTCTATAGTGGTAGCATCTCAGGATGTGTGAGGGTAGGGGATGGGGAGGAGGTTTTGCCAGGCTGCTGAATTGATGGAGCTAATATATTTCCTTCTCACATTTCAATGCCTTTGTTACTTGACTGAGGGCAAGCCAAGCAAGTTTGAGGCACAAACAGTAATTATAAGGCTGAGGATAGGAGCACTTCATCAGGCTCTACCCAGTGTCCCAGGAGGTCACATGTCATTAGGCCTGAATCACATACAGTTGCATGGGAAAGATGTTGTACACTCAGAAGGAGGGAATACCTTTCTGTGATGGAATATCAACAGTCAGCAAACCTGATGGTGGTCATCCCTTATAAGCAGGCACATCTGATCATAGGATGGTGTCAATTGTTTGTCCTTAGATTGTACTGAGCAACAAGAATCAAACAAAAGAAAGCTGAATAGAAAGTGTTTATGAGATAATATAATAAATTAGCACTTCCTAGGAACAATCTGTTAAACTGAAGCTTAGAGAAAACAGAAGGCAGTTTTCATATAATACATGGCATCACTACTATAACCATGCTTTTGGTTTTGGGTTTTTAATGAGTGTATGTAGGCAATACAAAGAAACAGCAAATATGTTAAAAAAATCAACGAATAGATGTGTACAGTATCCAGTGAAAGACCCCCGCTCCATTATGAGGACATGGGGCTTTGGGCCAATGAAATGCTCCCCCCCCCAATAACTTAGCCTAAGAAACGCCATTCTGAAGGAATCAAAAAAACAGGAGTTCACAGCCGTAGCCAGCCACCCGGCCTTGACAGAGATAACTATGGCCAGCCATCCAGCCTTGAGAGAGATAACTGTGGTCGGCGGCCTTGGGAGAAAAACAGTTGAGTCGAATCAGGATATTTTATGGCTGGCCCCCTGGCCTTGAGGAATAAGCAGCTGGCCTGGGCAAGGCCAAATCAGCCACACACATACGACCCCAAGTTCACCCTGGCCTTCTTTGAAACAACCAATAGGGACCCTGTAACTATGCTTCTCGCTTCTGTAACCGCGCCTCTGCCCCTGGGATCCCATAAAAAGTCCCCCTTGCCCTAGGAAAGGGCGCAAGTCCTCCAAGAGACTTCGCCCCAGGTACCTGGTCTAAATAAACCCTCTTGCTTTTGCATCTGATCTGTGGTTTCGGTGTGTTCCTTGGGTTTGGGGTCTCTCCCGGAGGAAGATCTCAGCTGGGGGTCTTTCACCAGTACAGCACAACTACGAAATCCCTCTTAAAACTATGATCTTTACCCAAAGGGTTCACTCTATCCTCTCTCCATAGATGCACATCCCATTAGCACATGCATAGACATGTGACCACTATACATAAAAGCTGAACAAACTATTACATCCTAGCATCTTATTCTGTAAAGGCCTGGTTTACATACTACTTGGCTTTGGGATGTTTTAGCAGCAGTCCCAACCCCCCAGCTAAATTCCACTTTGTATGATTTACTATGACCAAAGCAATGCCAAGTCCTTTGTATCACCAAGTCTACTCTTCCACATCATAGCTCAGTAGAGGAGTGCTACCCAGTACATGAGATGCCATTTGTAATCTCCACAAAATTAACTTCAAATGGATCTTACACATAAAAGTGCAGAACTTCTAGAAGATACTTGAGAAACTATGCCTCTCTCAGTTTTGCAACCTGTCTAAGCCTTGGGAGGTTTCTCTAAGGCCCTGATGTATAGAGAGGACAGAAAAGAGTTCCTTCTCTAAAACTAGGATTATGCTTAGGAGAGCTTGCAAAGGTCTGGGACCAGGGCCTTTGAAGGGTTTACTTCAGATCCTGAGAACCATCTCTTTCCACACCTGGGCTGTGGTAATCGATCCCAGCCACTGTGGACTTTGTTTATAATGATGTTCTAGAGATACTCTGTGTTCCTCTTGTGCAATATTGTCAGATTAGCCTCCTTCTGAAAATGTATGCTTTCTTTTAAAACTGAACCCATTGGTTTATATTAACTAGAGACTGGCTGTGGAATTTGGCTCAAATCTCCAGCCAATCTGGGATAGGTTTGTGTTTCAGGTGGAAGAAGCCAGGGCTGGGAACCTCTGGACTGTTTCCCTTCAGTTTACCCGGTCCTGTCACTCAGGCCTCACTAGCCAATCAGGGCCTCGAGCAGACCCGCCAGTCAGATGGGAGGGTTCTTCCTCTGGGTGCTAGGCTTCTGGCTCAACTCCTCTGTGGAGCAAGTCAGAAGTTGGCCCGTGTGCTGTGCCGTGGGCACTGCTGTGGGTAGAGTGCTTGGCAGCCACGCCATGGTGAGCGAGAGGCTTCTGCTCTCAGATCGGGAGGAATGTTCAGCCACGGTGAGCGAGGGGCTGCTTTCCCCAGGCTGGGAGGAGCGACCAGCCGAGCCCTGGGAGCCGGTTGGTGGGTCCTCCTAGGGGCTGAGTGGGAACCAGTGGCCAGATGCACAGTTCAGCGTGGTCCTGTGTGGTCCTGCGAGTCCTACATGTTCCTTCCTGATCCTGTGTCTCCTGCGTGGTCCTTGCAACTCCCTGGGCTGGGGCAGCAGCCTCTGAATAACTTCACTGCATGGGCTGTTTCTGCATTGGGAACAAGACTTAGAAATATCCATGTTGTTGATGTCACTGTGAAGTGCTGGCGCCTGTAGTCCCTATATTGTCACCTTGGAAGGCAGATTTGCCAAACACGGAGAGCCCTGGTCTCTCTAGTATCTTTCAGAAGTTCTACACTTAACATTTAGGTTTAGTATCTGTCTGCAGTTGATTTTGTGGAGCTTGTAAAGGGCATCTCCTGTGTAGAGTAGCACTCCACTGCTAAACTGTGATGTAGAAGAGTAGAATTGATGGTAATAGAATTGATGGTATAGTGATTTACCCATTCTTAGGAGACATTAAGTCACATAGTAGAATTAAGCTAAGGAAGGGCTGTCGCTCAGATATCCCTAAGATATGTAGTATGCTAACCGTGCCTTTTAGAGATTGGTATAAGATGTAAATGCTTGTTCCCCAGCATTAACCAGCCATTAAGCAACATTTTCTTAACAAAGGAGAAAACCCTGATTTACAACCAGCCAAAAGGGTCCCCTCCCCATTCCCTGACCCCTGTCAAAGAACAGGCTTCTAAGGTGCTATTCAAGGGGATATTATGGGGTCACAACCAACATTAAGTCCTGATGTGCCATCAAGGATATATTAAGTCTAGAACAGCTGTATCTCCAGTCTTTTTGAAAAGTTATTTTGAGTCAGGGTCTCTGATATAGATTGAGGTGGACTTGAACCCTGTCTGTGTCTCCACAGGGCATTTCCCTTACTATTGTCCTGACTAAGCACCAGGAATACTTGGATTGCAGATCTGTAGCACCACAGAGTTCTAAAGTAACCACTTTGAGTCACATAGTGAACTGTCTGTCCATTGCAGTAACAGGAAAGGATTTGTGTGTGGATCATGGCATCTCCCTTAAGACCAGAAGAGGAGAAACAGTGTCCTGTGTACACTGCATGGGGAAACAGGGTAGGCAATAGCTAGATCATGGGCTGGAGTTTAAGGCAGTGAGCTGCAGAAGTCTCCATCATAAAAAAGGACCCGCTGGGCAGGGGGAGTGACTTTCTGTGTAATTTAACTCCTGGTATTATTCCTACCATGTGAATGAAGATAGGCAGAATTGGTGGGTGTACAATTTAGCGAGGGTAACTTGAAGTACTGAGTCTTCAGTTTCCAGTTAGGGAACTCTCCTATGCAGATATGTACATTCCTGGTTGACACAGTTAAGTCAGCTCAGAGGTTTGAGACACAGGCCATTGGCTTTAACTCCATGTGTCAGCTTATAGCACCCAGCAGCTGACACTTTACATGGGCAAGTCATGCAGTGTCTTATGAATGGCATTCTCTCCAGCAGGGAAGTGCCTACTCTGTTGCAAAGTCAGTATTGTTAAGTGTTCTTCCAGTTATTTCTATCATTTTAAAAAGTCAATTAGTGGTATCATTTTTTAAATTTCACTTTTAAAAAATGCATTGCAGCTCTAATCTCTGTTTCCATTTTCCAGTGTTTCCTAGTCATTAAGGATTTTATTCAATTTTTTTCCTTGGGTGCAATTTATTTATTCATATCAGTTTATAGAGCAGTGGTTCTCAACCTGAGGGGGTCAAGGCTCCCCTTAACAGGAGTGCCCTAAGACCATTGCAATACACAGATATTTTTTATTATAATTCATAACAGTAGCAAAATTTTAGGTATGAAGTAGCAGTGAAAATAATTTTATGGTTGAGGGTCACGACAACATGAGGAACTGTATTAAAGCGTGACAGCATTAGGAAGGTTGAGAACCACTGGTTTAGACCAATGTCTCCTGTAGCTCAGGCTTGCTTCACATTATATAATAGAGAATTGCTTTGAACACCTAATCTTGCCTCTGCTGCCCAGTGCTGGGAAGACAGTCCTGCAAATCCTTCCAGGCTGGGCCTTGACTGGTCAGTGAGATGGAAAATAGACCAGTGAATGAGTGTCCTCCAACCTCTCTAGATTTCACTGTGAAATTACAGATGAAGTGGGACCTGTGTAAGAGTTGAGTTCACTGACCCACTGTAAAGCAGGTGTAGTCACAACACAGAAAGGGTTGGCAAGAAGAGGTTGAAAGCTTTCCCCTGTGACAGTTGACAGACAGCAGCAATGAGTAGTGAGGTCATCGATTTTAGACATTCCACAAATGTCCTGACTGGTCATTTCTCTTTTTCACAGACCAGACAATCAAGAATCTGGATAAAGAATTTTCCTGAAACAAAATTACAGTAGTGGGCTGGAGAGATGGCTCATAGGTTAAGAGCACTGGCTGGTCTTCCAGAGGTTCTGAGTTCAATTCCCAGCACCCACATGGTGGCTCACAACCATCTATAATAGGATCTGGTGCCCTCTTCTAGCCTGCAAGGATAATTGTAAACAAAACACTGTATACATAATAAATAAATCTTTTAAAAAATTACAGTAGTTACACCAGTTCAACCTAAATAGAAGAACTGAATAAAATGGTGTGGCCCTGCCTCATATGACTGTTTTCCAGGTTTAAGATGTACAGCCTGGGAGAAATGCATGTACTCATCCCTAGTCTCTGGAGCACATGGCCATAAAGCCTGTTTCAACTTTCTAACATATATATATTTTTTTGGATTACAATGCCCCCATTTCCACTATCTCTTTCCTGGTTCTAAGCCCTCCCATAGACCCTCCATTGTGTTCTAATCCATGGCCTATTTCTGCTTTAACAACAGTTACTGTTTGAATGTGACCTGTGTTTGGCGTCAGGTCCTCCCAGCTCTGAAGCAAAGGGTTGGCTTCAGTGGGTCTTGTATAATATTAGAGGGACCAGCCTTAATATTATACATCCCAGGGGCTCAGGAAAGAGAACTACTAACGGCGAGGACTATTTTCAGGAAATAGAATCTCAGCACACCGAGCTCTATAGTGCACTTGCTTTAATTCCTCTGGCATAACATCCTTTATACACAGCTTCAGTTCTGTTCTCATGTCTAGCTCCTTTCTTGCCTGATTTCTCTCTGTATTTATCTACTGTCCCCTCTAGGTTCTATCTTAATTCCTTCATCTAGTTCTGTCCCTTCTAGGTTCTCATCTATCTAGTTCTTTCCCCTATCAGCTCCTCTCTCATCTCCATCTCTCTCATCTGGCTCTTACTCATCTTGTTCTTCCCCATCTGGCTCTTCCTCAACTTCCATCTCGTTCCTCTAGTCCTCTCTTTTGGCCCTTTAATCTAGTTCTTCCCCATCTCAGTTCATTCCTCTCAAGTTCTTACCCGTCTAGTTCTTCCATTCTCTTTTCTCTCCCTGCCCTGGAAGTCCCGGTATATAAAGGGAGGGTCCACCTCTCCTAGGCGGTGTCTCCTTGTGGAATTTACTGTAAGTCAGGAGACTTGTATGTGGGCTGTTACCATTGTTAGTCCTCGGAAGTTGGGCGCCCCCATGGGCGGTGTCTCCTTGTGGAATTTAAGTCAGGAGACTTGCAGGTGGGCTGTTATCATTGTTATCCTCAGAAGTTGGGTGCCCACCTGGGTGGTATTTCCTGTAGTCCTTGAAAGTGGCTAAGGGAGATAATCTGATTCCAGAGAAAGCCTTTCCTGAGGCTGTTCTCCAAATACCTGGAATGTGTATGTCCAGAGAGTGATCAGTCCACACTGTTAGCCCTTCTTAGAGAAAAGTCAATTGGGAAAACTATGAAGGCACACATGATTTTCATAACAGAAACAGCTGATATGTAACAAGCCAAGTAACACCAAAAACTCCTTGGGATTTGGCTTCCTCTGGAGGAATTCCCTGATCCCTCCAGGTAGTGACTTTGCCATTACCAGCTGAGTTCTTATGATATATTCCTGTGGCCCGCAGCAAGTGGGCATTGAATGTGTAATGGAATGTGCATGAAAAGGACCCTGTACCTTGGAACAGGAAGTGCTCTGGAGAATGGAAGATTCTACTAAACTACAAATGTCCCAGACTAGGGCCATGTCTGACCTTAGTGTGGAAGGGGAGAGCTGGGAGGGTTTGTGCAGTTTGAGTCATTTGATCTCTGCTCCCCCAGTAGAGATGAGCATTACTAATGTCCTGAGGTCCAACTGGGTGGTCCTAACTAATGAGGAGCTTTGGGAAGGCTTAGTCATCAGGAGCATCAGTGGGAGGGAGCTTACAGGTTATTTCCAGGATTCTCCTCTGCCTCTACTGTAGGGAGCTGTAAAGAAGACCACAGTCATGCTATGATGAGTGTTGGGGCCACTGTCCCCAGATCAGGAAGAGCAGGTTGGCTGAGCTGTCAAGAGTCTGAGCTGCTAGGACTGGAATGGACCATGAGCCAGACTGTTTCTGTTGGTCCCTGTGGTGACCTGGGCAGTGTCCTTTGGCCTCTGATCCTTAGTGAGTGTGGATTCCCTGGGGATGAGAAGGCTCTGCCACCCTGGCATGGGAGGCTATGGTGCTTGTAATGTCACTGTCCAGTGTGCACACACAGGCTTTGCTTCTGTGACAGTGGGAGTCTGGGAAGACAGATTGGAAAACTGAAGGTCTGGTTTCTACAAGTTCTGGATGTTACTTTTCCCTTTCAGTTTGTCTTATAAATGTTACAGACAGTTTAGAAAATGGTAGAGAGAGGGTGATGGGGATCATCCTTCAGCAATACATGATTAGAATGCTTTTAGCTTTCTGCTACTGCCAGCCACTATGGTGTGATTCCGTGAAGGTCAGTTTCAGGGGACAAAAGGAAGCTCTGAGCTGCAGAGGTATCTCAGTTTGCATGGTTTAGGGCAGGTGGATAGGGCAGGTGCCACATCTTGTGACATAATCTATG